TACTAATACTACTATTACTACTACAACTACAACTACTACTACTACTACTACTACACTTACTACTACTACTACTACCACTACTACCACTACTACCACTACTACTACCACTACTACCACTACTACTACTACTACTACTACTACTCTACTACTATTACTACTGCTACTACTACTACTACTACTAGTCCTACTGCTGCTGCTGCTGCTACTACTACAACTACAACAACAATAACAAGAACAAGAACAACAACAACAACTACTACTACTACTATTACTACTACTACTACTACTACTACTACTACTACTACTAGTACTAGTACTAGTACTAGTAGCACTAGTACTAGTATTTCGAATACTAGTAATCATTTTACTTTGACTATTACTAACAGTGTTTCTCGTTTGGCTGCCCGTGCTTATTTTTTTGAAGTTGAAGAAGACTCCGGGAAAGGTCAGAAACAGGTCAGAAACAGGTCAGAAACACCAAAAAGGCAGCACTTGCCTAGCATCCAACCATTTACAGTCGTTTTTTTGCAAGCATCCTCTTGAAGATAAGATACGGACTTGATCAGATTTACAATAAAGATAAATATATTATATTCGTTTACGATTGAGACCAGAACCATGCCAATAATTGACATGGCCGCGCGGAATCCGCGCAGATGTTTTCAGGTCAGAAGGACATTCAGGTTCGTAGTAATAGTAATAGTAGAAGTAGAAGTAGTAGTAGTAGCAGTAGTAGTAGTAATAGAAGTAGTAGAAGTAGTAGTAGTAGTAGTAATAGAAGTAGAAGTAGCAATGATAAGAGATGAGGTGGATGGATGGATGGATGCTAGGCAAGTGCTGCCTTTTTGGTGTTTCTGACCTGTCTCTGACCTGTTTCTGACCTTTCCCGGAGTCTTCTTCAACTTCAGAAAAATATGCACGGGCAGCCAAACGAGAAACACTGTTAGTAATAGTCAAAGTAAAATGATTACTAGTACTCGAAATACTAGCACTAGTGCTACTAGTACTAGTACTAGTGCTACTAGTACTAGTACTAGTACTAGTACTAGTACTAGTACTAGTACTAGTAGTAGTAGTAGTAGTAGTTGTTGTTGTTGTTGTTGTTGTTGTTCTTGTTATTGTTGTTGTTGTTGTTGTAGTTGTAGTAGTAGCAGTAGCAGCAGTAGCAGCAGTAGCAGATGTCGGGGTGGTAGTAGTAGTAGTAGTTGTTGTTGTTGTTGTAGTAGTAGTAGTAGTTGTTGTAGTAGTAGTAGTAGTAACAGTAATAGTAGAAGTAGAAGTAGCAATGATAAGAGATGAGGTGGATGGATGGATGGATTCTAGGCAAGTGCTGCCTTTTTGGTGTTTCTGACCTGTTTCTGACCTGTTTCTGACCTTTCCCGGAGCCTTCTTCAACTTCAAAAAAATCAGCACGGGCAGTCAAACTAGGAACAATTTTAGTGATCGTCGAAGTAATATCATTACTAGTACCCGAAATACTAGTACTAGTGCTACTAGTAGTAGTAGTAGTAGTAGCAGGAGTAGTAGTAGTAGTAGTAGGAGTAGCAGTAGTAGTAGTAGTAGCACTAGTAGTAGTACTAGTAGTAGTAGTAGTAATAGTAATAGTAGAAGTAGCAATGATAAGAGCTGAGGTGGATGGATGGATGGATGCTAGGCAAGTGCTGCCTTTTTGGTGTTTCTGACCTGTTTCTGACCTTTCCCGGAGTCTTCTTCAACTTCAAAAAAATCAGCACGGGCAGTCAAACTAGGAACAATTTTAGCGATCGTCAAAATAATATCATTACTGGTACCCGAAATACTAGTACTAGTGCTACTAGTAGTAGTAGTAGTAGTAGTAGTAGTAGTAGTAGCCGGAGTAGTAGTAGTAGTAGTAATAGTAGTAGTAGTAGTAGCACTAGTAGTAGTAGTAGTAGTAGTAGTAGTACTAGTCGTAGTCGTAGTCGTAGTCGTAGTCGTAGTCGTAGTCGTAGTCGTAGTCGTAGTAGTAGTAGTAGTAGTAGTAGTAGTCACCTGCGCTCCTCCAAGCTAACTAGAATGTCCTTCTGACCTTATAACATCTGCGCGGATTCCGCGCGCGCGGAATCCGCGCGGCCATGTCAATTATTGGCATGGTTCGAGTAGTATTAGTAGTACTAGTAGAAGTAAAAGTAGTAGTACTACTAGTACTAGTAGAAGTAATAGTACTAGTAGAAGTAATAATACTAGTAGAAGTAGTAGTGCTAGTAGTGCTAGTAGTACTAGTCGTATTAGTAGTACTAGTAGTACTAGTAGTACTAGTAGTACTAGTAGTACTAGCAGTACTAGCAGTACTAGTAGTACTAGTAGTACTAGTAGTACTAGTACTACTAGTAGTATTAGTAAAAGTAGTAGTACTAGTAGTACTAGCAGTACTAGTAGTAAAAGTAGTACGAGTAGTACGAGTAGTACTAGTAGTAAAAGTAGTACGAATAGTACGAGTAGTACTTGTAGTACTAGTAGTACTAGTAGAAGTAGTAGTCCTAGTAGTACTAGTAGTACTATTTGTACTAGTTGTACTAGTAGTACTAGTAGTACTAAACTTGTACTAAACTGGTGAGTAACGTCATTCAGGCTGGGGCCGCCTTGTACGATAGACTAAAAAGACAAAAAAAAAACAATTTCGACCTCCTGAAGACTAAAACCCTAACCGCCCTTTTTGCGCGCAACCCATATATATATATATTCATTCATGGATCTAGATATATACGTAGCTTACCGTTAGACTGATAACCTCTCAATAAGCCACAAAAAGCTTCACAGACCCGACAATAGCTTCGTCTTTTGGAGGAATGCGCTGCACTCAGTTCAAATCCGGCACCCACCAAAGCCATTTACCACTGACCCAGGAGGCATGAAACGCCAAGGGATTTGGCCGCCTGTCATTGCTACATCAATGGTTGCACCATTCTCAACTAACAATTGAACCATTTCCAGGCCACCAGTCCCACCTGCCACATGCAAAGCAGTCATGCCGCTGTCCAATGTGTGAAGCCCCTGGTCCTGTTCTGCTCCGGCATCAAGCAGCGATGCGTAGTGAGTGGCATAAATCAGCTCCACTTTAGACCAAGCATCGTACCACCTCCAAAAATCCATGTTGGACTGCCATGTTTAAAGCTGTCATCCCACCTGCTGCAACATTCATACCAGCTCTGGCTTCAAGCAGCAATTGCACCACTTCCAAGTGACCTGCCCCGGCTGCGATTTGAATGGGTGCTTTGCAGCCCCTTGGACCTCTGCCATTGGGATCTTGCGGTTTCTGAAGGTCTCATCAGGATCTGCAAAGTTCCAAATCACCAATTGCACGTTTGCCAACGCTGGCAAGGCCATGTCATCCCGCAAAGGGCCACCATCCCTCAGGAGTCTTTGCTTAAACCTGGGGCGTCCAGTCTCAACTGCCAGGAGTTCTTACCATCTTCCACCATGCGAAGGTAGACATCCTCCAGCTCCAGGACAAGTTCGCCAGAGAGCGCAGTGATCCGCACCATTCGGCCGTGAGACGACTCGAGATGGGAACCGGATTTGATGACTTCGAGCCCAAGAATACCAATGGGACATGCTCGGATGAGCTGCCATTTTCTGGGATAGGAAATTTGGAAAAGTGCCAAATGCCACCCGTTTTTTATTTTCTCCCAGTAAATGGCCATGATTTCCAGATGGTTTACCCGGTATGGTAATTTCACATTGCTATGGAAGATGGCCCAGTCATGGATGATGTCAAAAATGCACCTCTCAAAAATGACAGTTTGCCTGTTCCATTAGAGATGACCAAAGGCTAAATCGTCATATCTCCATGATCTCCCCAGCATTTTGGTGAAATCCCCATGACTTTCGCAGCTACGGCACGCCCTGGGCGGCCTCGTTCGGGCGGCACGGCCACCTCTGGCAGCTGCATCCCCAAAGCGCCGAAGAGCTCCTGCAGGGCGTCGGGCTCCTGCGGAGCAAAGATGGGATGATCCGTTGCATTTTTGGACCATCACCATTTTTAAGAACGGTACCCTCTGGTAATTTAACATAGCTATTGAAAATGACCATTTTATAGTGGATTTTCCCATTGAAAATTGTGATTTTCTATAGTTATGTTAGTTTACCAGAGGGTAAACCATCTATAGATGGGCCATCTATACCATGGCTATGTTAGTCATAACCAGAGGGTATCTAATGGAGATATCTATGTTGAATATATGTGGATATGGAGATATTGATATATCTTATATTCCCTGCTATGGAAATATCTAATGGATATCTTGTATGTTTAATGGGCATAGAATGGAATATAGAGTAATTGGATATTAAGCAACAACATAATATCTAAAGGATTTATCTATAGGGACTTATCTATAATGCGTCTGATGGATATGTTTAACGGGGATATGTATATCTACAATGAACATCACATTTCTGGGATATATCTATAAGGGATATGTTGAAGTGGCACATAATGGCAATGGAATATAGAATGATAGTGGTACCCTCTTGTAAACTAACATAACTATGGAAAATCACCATTTCGAATGGGAAAATCAACTATAAATGGCCATTTTCAATAGCTATGTTAGTTTACCAGAGGGTATATACAACGAACCATTTACAGTATGATAACCGTGGTTGTGTGACATGGTAGATACCCCCAGTTGGCCAATGGTTTAGGATGGATTTCAGGAAGCGTTTTTTTCAGCCACACACTGCTGATGGAAAAATTGGAGTTCAGATGGGCTTACTGGAAAAATTTCATGAGATCTTCATGGGAAAGAAGTGGATCAATAGAAGATCCACCATCCCCCGAGCCAGGGGATATCAGAGGATGACGAACATGATCGCACCCCTGACTACTAGCCCCTATGGCTATGAAACCCATCATAGCCATATAACCATATAATACAGCAGTCTGCTGTAAACTGGAGAATTTATGATAGATCACCAGATTTGGCCATGACATTGATGGCTTTCCCAATTAGCCCTCTTGGGGGCTTAGTGCTTTGAGGTTGATGTAAAAATATAATCGATGGATTTTCCAGCTTACAAAATCCGGGATGGTTTGGAAGTGAGTCGCCTCACTGGAAGTGGCCAAGTTGGGGCACCCCTCTGCCCAGATCCTCTGGAAGATTGAATTCATTCGGGTCGTTCTCATCCTGCAACTCGGACAGCCTGAGAGCTTCCGGCATTCTGAAGGATGGTGTTTTTGCCCAGACTTCTTAGTGGGCACAGCTTGAAAACGACAAGGCAAACCAACATCGGTGGTTTCATGTCTGAAACCACAAGATGTGTGTGTGTGTGTGTCACTTGGACATGAACTATGGTCAAAGATCCTTGACCTTTCAAAAAGTGTCTCCGGTGTCCATCCACATATCCTGTGGGCAAACTATGATCAACCAATCGTTCCACCATCCAAGTAGGCATGTTGCCAGATCATGAAGGTGAAATATACAGATCCTCCATCTTTGTGCATGATACGGGTATGGGCCAAAACCCTCCTCCCCTGATAAACACCAAAATACCTGGTAAATAAATGGTAAATACCTGGTAAATACCTGGTAAATACCTGGTAAATACCTGGTAAATGCCTGGTAAATACCTGGTTATGCCTCCATTCCTATGGTCCCATCGGTAGTCAACCCCCTCTCGCTCCGCAAGGGACAGCTGTTGTAGAACGTCCGGCTTGGAGATCACCTGCAGATATGACTGGCTCATCTACTAAATAGCAAAAAAAATGGGGGCAAGCGAATGGATTCGGTACTAAATTGGGGGATCGATTGGGAGGTGCTTGATATTTGAGGGAAGGGATTGAAGGGATTGCTAAATATTTATATACAGTATATATATATATATTATATACACATACGTATTATATATAGTATATAGATATATATATATATATATTATTATATATATATTATATTATATATATATATATTATTATATATATATTATTATATATATATATTATTATATATATATATTATTATATATATAATTATTATTATTATTATATATATATATATTTATTATTATATATATATATTTATTATTATATATATATTATTATTATATATATATATACACTGCACCCGCCCAAATACTGCATGAGTGCAGCTTCGACAACAAGGTGGGCCAGAGAACCCAAAAGCAAGACGGCACACAGCACGCCTTTTCTTGAAAATCTTGGGGTGTGGCCAGCTGTGCTCTGCACGAAATCGACGTAAGATCTTTACTTAAACATCGTGCGCACTGATGGTATCAGGGGCCACGATTCACCACAGCATGCTGTGTCAGCTACGCCTACAGTCTTCTAGTCGCTATTTCTGTTAATGTAATTAACTCTATCCCATCTGTCTAGTCGCTATCTATTTCTGCGTTCTCGTTTAGTTTGCTTCGCCGCAGAGGGAGCGAGCACGAAGCGTGGACGGACAGAACGACATGAAAATTAAACGACAGAGGGAGCTGACCAAAAGAGCATGAAAACGAAGATATATATGAAGGTGACAGATGGCAAATGATCATGAAAAATGAGACATGATAAAAGATGGGTAAAGACTTCTCTGTACAAAAGCTTCTTTGCATAAAAACTTCTGCAAGTAAAAGCTTCTGTGGGCAAGAACTTCTCTGTGTAAAGGTTTTTGGTGTAAAAGCTCTTGTGTGTAAAATCTTCTGTGTAAAACGCGCTCTGTGTGTAAAAGTTTCTGTTTGCGAAAGTTTCTTTGCGTACCAGCTTCTGTCTGTAAAAGCTCCTCTGTGTTAAGGTTTTGTTTGCGTAAAGCTTCTGTGTGCAAAAGCTTCTCTGTGTAAAAGACTTCTCTGTGTCAAAGCCTCTGAGTGTACAAGCTTCTCTGTGTAAAAGTTCCTCTGTGTAAAAGCTCCTCTGTGGAAAAGCCGCTCTGTGTAAAAGGCTTCTGTGTGTAAAAGCCTCTGTGTGTGCAAGCTTCTCTGTGTCAAGACTTCTTTGTGTAAAGATTTCTCTGTGTAAAACTACTCTGTGTAAACGCTTCCGTGTAAACTCTTTCCTGTGTAAACGCCTCCGTGTGTAAAGACTTCTCTGTGTAAACCCGTCTGTGTGTAAAAGCTGCTTTGTTTAAAGGTTTTTTTGTGTTAAAAGCTTCTGTGTGTAAAACCTTCTGTGTGTAAAAGTTTCTGTGTGTAAAAGCTTCTGTGTGTAAAGGTTTCCGTGTGTAAAAGCTTCTGTGTATTAAAAAAACCTTATGTAAAAGCTTCTGTGTAAAAAAGCCCCCTGTGTGTACAAGCTTCGCTGCGTAAAAGCTGCTCTGTGTAAAAAATCTGTGCGCCGTAAAGTTGTCTGTTTGTAAAACTTCCTGTGTGTGTGTGAAAGCGTCTGTGTGTACAAGATTCTGTGTGCAAAAGCTCCTCTGTGCAAAGACTTCTCTGTGTACAAAGCTTCTGTGTGTGAAAGTTTCTGTGTGTAAAAGTTTTCCTGTGTAAAAGTTTTCTTGTGCAAAAGCTCCTGTGTGAAAAACTTCTCTGTGTAAAGGCTTTTTTGTGTAAAAGCTTCTGTGTGTACAAGCTGCTCTGTGTTAAAGTTTCTGTGCGCCGAAAGAACGTCTATCTGTAACACCTTCTGCGTGTAAATCTCGTTTGTGTAAGGACTTCTCTCGTAAAAGCTCCTCTGTGTCAAGACTTCTTTGTGCGAAAGGCTTCTCTCTGTAAAAGCCTTTGTGTGTACAGGCTTCTCTGTCTCAAGACTTCTCTGTGTAAAGACTTCTGTGTGTAAAGGCTACTCTGTGCAAAAAAGCTTCTGTGCGTAAAGGCTTCTGTGTCAAGACTCCTCTGTGTCTCTGTAAACGCGTCTGTGTGTCAAAGTTTCTGTGTAAAGGCTTTTTTTGTGTAAAAGCTTCTCTGTGCATGTCCCATTTTTCAGCCTTTGCAAACCGTTTGACCGGTCTTGGGACCATTTGACCAGTCTTGGGTCCACAATTTTTCAGGCCAATCGCAATGATGGCATTTGTCCTGAAAAAACCCGTGCCAACAGCTCTGCCGCAAACTATTTTCAAGGTTTCCTATCCGTCCAGCATGTTGTCTCGCTCCCTCCAGCGAAGCTCTCCGCAAGCTATTTCCACGTTTTTGTCCCGTCCAGCATGCTGTCTCGCTCCCTCCCAGCAAGGCTCTCCGCAAGCTATTTCCACGGTTTCCTCTCCGTCCAGCACGCTGTCTCGCTCCCTTCCAGCGAACTCTCCGCTAGCTATTTCCACGGTTTCCTGTCCATCCAGCATGCTGTCTCCCTCCCTCCCAGCGACGCTCTCCGCAACCTATTTGCACGGTTTCCTCTCCGTCCAGCACGCTGTCTCGCTCCCGCCCAGCGAAGCTCTCCGCAAGCTATTTGCACGGTTTTCTCTCCGTCCAGCATGCTATCTCGCTTCCTCCCGGCGAAGCTCTCCGCAACCTATTTGCACGGTTTCCTCTCCGTCCAGCATGCTGTCTCGCTCCCTCCCAGCGAAGCTCTCCTTAACCTATTTCCACGGTTTCCTCTCCGTCCAGGATACTGTCTCGC